ACCCTAATATTAACAAACTCTAGAATTCTTTGTCTTTTCCTCAAGGCCACTTGAGTTTAGGATTCAAAGATGGCTGGATGATCAATTTCCCTAATTACATATGCCAGAGACAGGCTTGAGTCAAACAGTCCAGATCTAGATTCTGATCCGAACTCTTCTAAAGTTGGAGGGCATTTGGATTTGGACTTGGATTCTGCCTCGGATCTAAGTCGAAGTCTAAACCGGGCATGTCTACACTTGAACTGCTGCAGCAGGACAGCTGTGTTGCTACAACTGTGCCACTGTAGCACCTCCATGAAGACACTACCTATACCCATGAGAGAGTGTCTGCCATCAGCGTTAGTACTTTGTCTCTTTTAGACATGGCAGCCACGCCAACCAGAGATTCTCCCATCGACTTAGTGCTTTCTACACCGGGGTTACGTCTGTTTAATGGCATCCTTCAGGGGTGTGGAAAACCCACAATCTTAAGCGACACAGTTATACCAATCTAATATCCTAATGAAGATCCTGGCCTATATAGCAAATTATACAAGTTATCACATACAGGTCACTGCCATTCGGGTATAACCAAAATACCTGATTACATCTTTTATACCAACACCAGAGGTTAAACTGAGCTTTAAATTCTCTGGAACAGTGTTCTATTACTCCAGCCATACCTTCCTAATTGCATTTAAACTCTTTCATTCCTGCAGTTACAGGCTATTGTATTTAGGACTGGTGCTGTGTGCTTGTGCACTAATGCAAAAGTTGTCTAATTGGTAACCTTGAAAAAGGCAAGACCGTCAGATGGCACGTAGAAGTCTGAGGCTGCGATGGCAGGACAGAGGCGGAATGCAAGCAGGAGTAAAAGCAGATGATATATGAAAGACCGAGAAAACTACTAAGAGTCGCTTTTTAATTACAAACTAAATCCCTCCTTTCAGATTCTACGCAGGGTTTTTACCTGGGGACCCCATGACAACGAGACCAAAGAGTGGTTATTCCTACTCTGGGATCACAAAACAGTGCTAATGCAAAACCATCAGATGGATCTCCACAGCTGCCATGACCAACCCCCTCACTCCCACCCCCAAAAAACACACCTTTGGAGAGCCAGGGATTCTACACATGCCTATCACAACAAGAGGTGTACCGCATCCAGAGTGCACAGTCCCTACACTCTTACATGAACTCATGCAGAAAAATGAGAGAACACAAGAACCCCATATAACCTAAGGGTACACATTTGATCATTCCACATCTGACCTCTTAGTCCTCGTCCTGAAAAGAAAGTGGCACGCCTTCAAATGATGAGCCCAGGAGTTAAGTTCATAACTTTGCTAGACACAAATAGACACACACAGGATTTGCGCCTTAATATAACAATTTTTCTTGTCCTATGACTGCAGAGGTGCTAATGAGCCACTTTAACTTGAATAGACCTTAAAAATGTGCTTTCACTACTTATGCTAAACCACCTTTGAGTACCTTTCCCAAATCTCAGACTCTGAGGCTCGAAAGCGTCTCTCTCACTCCAATAAAAGATATTACCTCATCCACCTTGTCTTTCTAATATCCTGGGACCAACACCGCTACCATGACACTGCAAACAGTAATTCAGTGGGAATTTTGCCAATGTCTGAACTACAGGATCAGGCCTACAGACATCAACTGATTTCCAACAGGCCTGTAGTAACACAAAGGGCAAAACTGTGTTCTTGATGTCTATCTACACAGCAATTAAACACCTGCAGCTGGCCCTGGTCAGATAACTTGGGCTGGTGGGGCTGTAAAAGTGCAATGCAGACATTCAGGTTTGGACTTTGGGACCCCGTGAGGATGGAGGACCCCAGGACCCAGCCCACGCCTAAGCATCTACATTGCAATTTTACAGCCCTGCAGTCCAACCTCCGATCTCAAATCAGCTGACACACACCAGCTCTAGGTACACAAAAATATGTAAGTCTGGAGTACCTCCAATGTCTTCTGTGGACTCGTTTTGCATTTACACTGCTGCACTGAGAACAGATTACAATGGGCCATAAATATTTCAGCTGCTTTTTCAGCTTTGTTATTCCGTTTAAAGTAGGAAACATGACAAACCTTTGATTGTTTTGTTTAATACCAAACAACAATTCAAAGAGAAAAACAAGCAGGAGTAAATGATGCCCATGATGAACAGAAAACTCCTGACAGATTATATGAAGTCAGTGAGTATGACCAGGGCTACAGACACTCTACCTCGTTTCTTAATATTTAGGAAGACACCATCCACCTCCTACTTCCAACAGTCACCACAAAATTACACCAAATGGTGAGGTGACAAAATGGAAGAGGCTAGAACTTTGGTTGCCTGATTAAAAGCGACAACCTTGAAGCATTTTAAAGGTAGCTCCAATACCGGGTATTCCTGCTATCGTAACAATGGCCATATATAAAGATATAATTTTGTACCAAAAAAAAAAAAATCTACTTAAGAATTTAACTATTGACCAAACTGATATTTTCTTAGGAGTCATCCAACTGAAATGAATGAAAAGCATTCCACCAACACTTAATAGAACATGAGCCTGACTCTGTCATCCTTACTCATATCAGCAGTCCTGCTCACTTCCCTGGGACTACACATGGTGAGTAGGAATAACTCACATGAACAAGAGTTGCAGGGCTGTGCCCATATCTGAAGCCAGTCATTCTTACAGTGGCTGTTTCTTCTGTTAGAAAGATATAATGGGACTTCAGACTTTTATATCCAATCTAACTTAACGGCTAGGTATTTATAGCATGCTCATCACCATGGTGTCTGAATATCCATGAAGAGTATGCATTAAATACCATTGCTCGCAGTGTTCAAACAGCGGCTTCTGCAGTGCTTAAGGCCAAGAGACGACAATGACAACACCGACAGATGCGTGAAGTAGAATACCTTGCAAAAATTAATATGCATTATATGTACATATATTTACATTAATATCTACCTCCTTCTGGAAGCAGATGCTATAAAGATCGGAGATACGACTAGCAACAAGACACATTGCCTTGATACACTAAGTTCTGCACACCACACTTCCATTTACTGCTAGGGAGGTTCTCAAACTGCTTAGATTCTGCCTCACAAACTTCATACAAGTTTCAGCCACACTCACCTCCGGCAACGGCATCCCATTGATGATCAGATCGGGTTGCTGGGGACTCTGCCCGGTGAAGGTGTGGTGGTAAACGTGGTTGGAGCCTGCAGTGTTCCGAGTGTTCTGATTCTCCACATTGAGGAAGGTACTTTCAGATCTGCGGCACCCCAGGGGCAAGGTCTGCTGATGATAGTCAAAATAGTTGAGAGATGAAGTGAGGGAGGAGCAGCTCACCACATTCATTTTATCTGTCTCCTCTACATCCCGTGGTACCAGCCGGATATCATTCTTGCTGATTTTTTTCTTCTTGCTTGATTTCTTTTGATGCCCATAGGAGTACTCTGCAATTCTGAGGGACAGAAGAAGCAAAATGAGTATCTAATAGAATCCTGAACTGTGCTCCATAAATATTAAGAAACCCATAGGGCTTCGCCCCATCTCAACATAGATTTCTTATTCATGCCTATTATGTCATGTTTTGGGTCCTGTAGCAATATATGATCTTTCGCTTATTTTCATATGCATAAAATTTACAGGTCACACACAAAAAGAAAGGGAAGGGAAAATTTCCTCCATGTTTTGTTTGGTGTTTATAACTGTTGATATTTAGTTACCAGGAATAAAGGTCAGCCTGCAGAAAAGAAAAAATGGAGATGTTAAGATCTATGAACTGAAAAGGGTATCTGAATTAATTACCATGTGTAATAAGGATTTAAAAAGTGATTTAGTTTAGGATATGTAAATCAAACACCAGCACGATGAGAGATTTTTCTCCAGCTCTTTTCCCCTACCAATAAATACAGCTAACTCCGCAACTATTCTTAGCTTGTAAGCGTATCCCCACCACATTCCAAAGACTGTTCGTATAACATTTTTCCAGGTTGCTTTTATTTCAACTCTTTCCTGGTAGCATTTGATAACTTTAAATCCTCTCTTCAAGCTTTCTTCTCACCTCCTCCTCCTCCTCCCCCTCCTCATACCCCTCCCGATTTCCTGGGAAATGTTTTTCTTCCAGAAACTGGAGAGCAAAAATGGTGTTTTCAAAGAGAAACTCTCTTTTCTGACCTTTTCTCACATCAGCTTCTTTTTCTATGCCGATCTTTCCCTTTGCTTCGCACCTGCTGAAAGAACCAACTGATGCAGGATATGCATCTTTTCCTCTTAAAAAATACCAAAGGAAGAAAGTCATTAAACTACTGAAAAAATAAATTAAAAAAACATGATTGCACTCAGCATTATCTAGATTGATGTGCCTGTGGTTCTTTTTGACACAGAGGACCGTGTATCATTAAGACCACCACAAATATAGATAGATACCCATACAAGATGCCAGGCATTGCAATACTTCTCAAAAGAATTACATTAAACTATTACCATAACCAGAAATATACATTCAAATTCTCCTATGATGATAAAGATAGGGGGTTTTTAGACTCCAATACTTGCAATTAAGAGATAATAGGAAGAATAATTAATACAGGTTTATCTAGAAAGGTAAATATTGTACAAACAGTCTAGTTCCACAAAGCTAATTGCCTGTGCATGAAAAAAAAGCCACCAAATCAAACAGCTCTCTCATATACTCATGTGCCTCAAATACACTAATTTTCTGAAAAACCTCCTGCAGATGTGGTTAGGCTTCTTGCAAAAATAGGAAAAGACCAGCCTAAATAGATACACAAAACGCACATATGGGATGCCGGATGATCAAACACACAGCTAAGCCTATACAGTACTACTTTGCCTCTGCAGCTGACTTCTCTTGATCAGATTTACACTGATAATAGAATGCTCATTTCATTGTACTTGTCAGTAAGTTAAAGCAATTCAGGAGATTTTTGTTATTCAAAAAAAATCCGTAGGCATGCAGGCTAGTCTAACACCACTTGATGGAGCTTTAATTGTTTTGTTTACCTCAATGTTTAAGTTTGGCAATGTGAGATCCCAATTCTCACAGCATTCATTTTGTTGTCCTTTCTCTATTGACCAATTATTTAATTAAACTGCACTTCATTAATCCTAAGACACACTAAGCCTATTGGTCTGGGGGCACCACCACGATTTGATTTTAGACATTCAGATCCTATTCTTGTTTAATGGACAAAGCTGGCAACAAATCTGGTATATTAGCTTTCCCTTAAAGCAAGGCATCCCCTAATATAACAAATACAGTGCTTTATTTGCAGTAGATTTTTCCCCATCCAGCAAAAGGGCTTATAAACATGCTTTATGTTGTGAAAATGGGATATAAAAACTGAACTCTCAGTTATTCTATCTCTGTAAATAAAACTTTAAAGACAGCACATTCCCCTGCACTGTAAAATTGCCGCAGGCAATCGCATGTTACAAAGGTAGAGCAAAATTAATTTCCATTCCTTCCATCTGAAAGGCTCAGTGCTGAAGGAATGGAGAAGTCATGGCTATTTCACTAGTAACAGGATTAAACCATTTATGAGGCATTGCAGCTGCTCCTTTATGGCATCTGATTGATATTCATGTGCGGTTAGCATTTGTCTACTAACTTGTGTAACACAGAGAATGGTAAGAGAGAGACAATAATCGCACGGCTGTTACATATTCAGGGGACCCAGTTTAACATATTAGACTTTCATAGCAGCTAAGGTTTCAGATACACAGATGACCTAGCATTCCACATTTTGGACTTGTGGTTATGCATTGCAAAATCATGCAGTGTTGTAAATATGGTCATTAAAACCAACCAATAAGAACTAACTCAACCATTACATTTTCACAATGAACCGGGTTTATTGAAGGAAACGACTCTCTCCCCCTATTCTTTTAGATTTATCTTTACTTGTAGGAGCTGCGTCCTAACACACACAGACACAATGGTTCTTTCACATGGAAAGAAAGGGCTGTAAGAACATTGCTCCACTTCGTCAATTTCAGTTGAACCCCGATTTCTTTCATCGGGTGCTCTCCCAGCTACCCCTTTCCTTGCAGATCCACCACTTCAGGAGAAAACCAACACAGAAAAAGTGCCCATAGTGACATCCTCTGGTGGGGACAGGATGCAAACACCATGCAGAGGAATCTTAATGCAAAGCCCACCTATGCCAACTGCTACTGTAGGTGTGGACTTGCTGTCCTGTGTGAGGACTCAGTGCTGTGAGCACCTATTACAAGTCTCCCTGCACTGAGTTTTCTCCTTTTCAGCTGCTCAGTGCTTCAAAAATCCAACACTGCTTTACAACCAGGATGGTAATGCTCACCCAGGAGTGAGTACAACTACATGAACCAACATGCTCTCCTCAAGTCTGAAGTCAGGGGAGTTCTCTTTTGGTAACAGTTGGATCTGTACATTTCCCCACCCACCCCCAATATCACAGGAAATAGCTATGCTGATTTAAGACAGACTGGTTTGTTCTGCTACAGAACACATATGAACATTTACATTAGGACAAATTGGGATAGTCTTTAAAAAAAACATTGATCCCAGAGTACTTTAAAAAAAAAGTATGGAATTTTTCTTAAAAAGGAACATAATATCATGGACCCTGGTTTTTGCTCCTAAAATAAATGTAATATGCCCATGGGTTTCAAACACACAGAAAAGTAATTTAGATTGGGAAAATATCAAAGTGCATTTTGCATGGTACAAAGAAACAAGCTCACTTTACCTGCAGTTGTAGGTCCTTATTTCCTTGTTATCCCTTTTACACTTGACGGCCACAAAGATCATGGTGACAAAAAGAATGGCAGCAATAGAACCCAGGGCAATAATGAAAATCAGTGACAAGTTAACAGATCCTATGGATTCCTGGGCATCGAGAGCTGGAGATAGATATATCAAAATCAAGGCAGAAGCGGAGAGTGAGGTTTTTCCATGATCGTGGGCCACCACAATCAGCTCATAAGTAGTCTTTGCAGTCTCTCCAAAAGCTCTGGTGGTCCTTATCTCTCCATTGAACTGATCTATTTCAAAAAACCCTCTATCCCCATCAGCCATTTCATAGGACAGTCTTCCATTCTCCCCCTCATCATAGTCATCTGCCTTGACCACTGTCACTAAGTAACCAACCCCGGCGTTCCTGGGGATATACACCTCGGCTGTCCCATTGACCAGAGTCGGGGCAGTGATCACGGGGGTGTTGTCGTTGACATCGAGGACGATCACCCTGACGGTGGCATTGCTCTGCAGGGACGGGTTGCCCCCGTCTTTGGCCAAGACCTTGAACTCGAAGGCCTTGGTCTGCTCATGATTGAAGGACCGCAAGGCATAGATATCCCCGGAGTTGGGGTTGATGGAGACATAGGTGAAGACAGGCATGTCCCTAACTTGGGAGGGCACAATCTGATAGGAGACGCTGCCGTTGAGGCCCAGGTCAGGGTCCCTGGCAGAGACAGACAAGAGGTAGGCCCCAGGGGTGTTGTTCTCCTGCACGATGACCTGGTAGTAGGGCTTGGAGAAGTGGGGGTGGTTGTCGTTCTCGTCAGTGATCTTGACGGTGAAGGACTTGGTGGCCTGCAGGGGGGGCACCCCGTTGTCTCGGGCCTGGATGGTGAGGTTGTACTGGTCCCTCTGCTCCCGGTCCAGCCGCCCGTCCACCAGGATGGTGGAGAAGCTCTCGTACTCCTGCAGGCGGAAGGGCACGCTGCCCAGCAGCTTGCACTGCACCCGCCCGTTGGCCCCGGAGTCCCGGTCGGAGACCCGCACCAGGGCGATGACGTAGCCGGGCGGGGCGCTCTCGCTCACCTCCACCAGCTCGCTGTTGACCGAGAGCAGGTTGATGAGGGGCGGGTTGTCGTTGGCGTCCTGCACGCTGACCGTCACCTTGCAGTGGGCCGGGATGGAGTTGGGCCCCAGGTCCTTGGCCTGCACGTCCAGCTCGTAGCTGTGGCCCTCCTCGTAGTCCACGGCGCCGGCGACGCTGAGCAGGCCGCTCTGCGGGTCGAGGTGGAAGAGCTGGCGGGGGTGCCCTCGTCCGGGTCGGAGGCGTTGAGGCGGAGCAGGGGGGTGCCCAGCGGCGCGTTCTCGGGCACGGTGACGGCGTAGGCCGGCTCGGCGAAGAGCGGGTTGTTGTCGTTGGAGTCGATGACCCGGATGCTGAGGGCCACCGAGCCAAAGTTGGGGGGGTCGCCGCCGTCCAGCGCCGTGAGGCGGTAGCTGTAGTGGGACTGGGTCTCGCGGTCCAGGCCGCGCTCCACCACCAGCTCGGCGAAGCGGGAGCCGTCGCCGCGCGTCTTGGTCTCCAGGCCGAAGAGGTCGTTGGGGGTGAGCTCGTAGCGCTGCACGCCGAAGCTGCCCGAGTCCGGGTCGAAGGCGCTCTCCAGCGGCACGCGCGTGCCCGGGCTGGCGGTCTCCCAGATCTCCAGCTCCAGCTGGTCGGCGGGGAAGCTGGGCGCGTTGTCGTTCAGGTCCTTGATCTCCAGCTTGACCACGCAGATCTCCATGGAGCTGGACATCACCTCCAGCGAGATGACGCACTTGGGGCTCTGGCGGCACAGCAGGTCGCGGTCGATCTTCTGCTTGGTCACCAGCAAGCCCGAGCCCGGGTTGATGTCCACCAGGTGCGGCGCCGAGTTGGAGACCACCCGGAAGGCGGCGGGCTGGCGGGGGTCCAGCACGAAGCCCGCATCCCGCGCGTCCTTGGCGATGTTGGCGATCACCGTGCCGGCGCGCTGCTCCTCCTCCACCGAGTACTTCAGGTTGATCAGGGCCCCCGCCCCGGTCCACAGCAAGGCGAGCAGGACGGGGAGAATATCCATCGGTGCGGCGCCGAGTTGGAGACCACCCGGAAGGCGGCGGGCTGGCGGGGGTCCAGCACGAAGCCCGCATCCCGCGCGTCCTTGGCGATGTTGGCGATCACCGTGCCGGCGCGCTGCTCCTCCTCCACCGAGTACTTCAGGTTGATCAGGGCCCCCGCCCCGGTCCACAGCAAGGCGAGCAGGACGGGGAGAATATCCATCTCCCGGCTCCGCACGCCCGGCGCCCCCGCCTTGCCGCCTGGCTGCCTGTGGAGAGCCCGGCTGGGGCAGGGGGCGGCTCGGGGCGCTTGGAAAAGGGGGTTAAAAATAAAATAAATCAGAGGCAAAACGGGCTGGAGGCTGGAGACACGGGGAGGCGCTCAGCTCCTCTGCTTCCCCCGGCAGGCGGCTTCACCTCTCTAGCAAAGTTAGCAGCGTTCACCAGGATGAAAGCTCCGGGGCTTTTCGCCCGTCCGGGGGCATGGGAGTTAGAAATTAGAGGGGGAAAAGGGTCTTTACTAGAGAGGGGTTTAAAAAAAATACTAATAATAAAAATCAGTGAGCGGTGCCAGGCAATCGAGGGGGAAATGTGGATTTATTGGCACCTGGCATGCGCAATCTCTCCCCCCTCCCGGAAAAAAAAAGAGACAGCACAGACCTCATTGCAGAGACCAGGCACCCTGGACACGCATCCTCGTGGTGACTGCGTTCAAATAAAATCCTATGCAAAATGCAAAGCCAGCGGAGGCAGAGGCCGGGGTGAAAGTGCGGCTGCAACCGTGCAGGGCTAGGGTGGGAGGGGGAGCCTGGTCCGATCATAAGTCACAGACTGGAAGGAGGGGGGCGGGGAGCATCTGCAAAATCAGACGCGCCCGGGGAGGGGGTCGGG